GGTCAGGCAACCTCAAGGGTACCTTTGTGCGAGAGTTGCATATCTCGGCAACCAAGCTGAGAGCGGCAACGAAGGCCCTCACTGAAAAGGCGGCGGCCCCGGAGGCAGGAAATAACGATAAGGAGACGGACAAGCTCAAGGAGAGAATACGAGAGCTTGAGGAGCAAGTCGCCCGACTCAACAGGGAAAGAAAAGGTCCTGAGCAGAGTACGGTGACAATCCCTGACACCAGGGGAAATAGGAAGAGGAGGAAGATCCAACGGACGATAGACTCTTCGGAAGAGGAGGAGAATATTCCTCCCACCCCCAGCTCATGCCCGATATTTAGATTCGGGCTGGGCAAAGAAGGAGACACATCGGAAGTGGCGACGGGACTCCCAGAGCCCAACAGCTGGGCCTTCAGGCCCATACTGGGAGGAGTAAGGAAAGCGTTGCCTGAACCCAGCAGGGAGAAGGCAATGGATAACGTTAAAAGGGTGTTGGAGGACATGCCGTTGGATAACCTCCTCACCGGAAGCGTACCGAATATCAGGGACAATATTGAAAACCTGATAATAAGGCTCGAGGGTGCCAAGGCGGCGCTCCCAATGGGAGATAGCGCGAACAAAGAGATTCCGAAGGGACCTACCGAGGACCGTATACTAGAGGAAAAGGTGAGAGTGGTGAGACCGACCGTCACAAAGGGAACGGCGAAGAGCGGGGGAGCCAAGCGAGCGGGGAAGAAAGCGGCCACAAAAGCCCCGCCGAAAGTCGGAACAAGTAAGGAGAGCAGCCAAGACAGCACGAGGACAACCCAGCCTCAGCTGCGGCAACAGAGTGTCCCACGAAAAAAGGACACGGAGAGGGAACGAGCGATTTCGGCAGATCGAACACACCCCCCTGCGAAAACCGAACAGGCGCCTGAGGGTACCTGGGTGGAAGTGGTTAGAAGGGGAAGAAAAGGCAAGGCCAGGCAACAACCAGTTGCTACCAAGAGTGCGAGCCAGCCCGCCAAAGGCGGGCCAAAGCCCGCACCACCGGACGCGGCGATCAGGGGAGCTAGCCAACCCCCAGTGAGGAGACAAGAACCTGGCGCCCCGAAGGGCGGAGCTCGAGGAAACCCAAAACAGGCCACCTCGACCAGGCACAGGACCCCGAGGTCACAGGCGGTGACGGTGACGTTCCCTCAGGGACAGTATGCTGAGGGAATACGCAAAATTAGAGCGCAAGTACGCCTGGAAGACCTAGGCATTGAGGACCTCCGTCCGAGGAGAGCCCTGACGGGGGCCCTCATCTTTGAAGTCACAGGAGCTGACGCCAAAGTAAAGGCGGACAGGCTGGCTGAAAAGATGCAGGGAGCAGTAGGAGACGCTGAGGGGGTAAGAATTACCCGACCCGTGAAACAGGCCGAGGTCCGGATCAAGGACCTCGACGAGTCGATCACGGGGGAGGAAATTCGGGAAGCAGTAGCAAGAGCCGGAGAGTGCACCCCTCAAGAAATAAAGACGGGACAGGTGAGGCTGGCACCCAACGGCCTGGGTACGGTTTGGGTGCAATGCCCCGTCACGGCTGCCAAGAAAGTAGCGACACCCGGCCGAATAAAAATTGGCTGGGTATCCGCGAGGGTGGAAATATTAGAGGCGAGACCACTCGTCTGTTTCCGGTGCCTGGAGAGGGGGCACGTGCGCCACCAATGCCGCAGCACCGTAGACAGGAGTACAGCCTGCTATAGGTGTGGGGCTGAGGGGCACAAAGCCCAGGACTGCAAGGAGGCACCAAAATGTGTGGTTTGCAGCAGCAGGGGGCTGCCGGCGGGCCACAAGGCGGGGGGTTCGGCGTGCCCTCGTCCTTCGAGGAAGTCCCTGAAGAAGGGACGCAAAGTAGAAGAAGGAAAACGAGGAGCAGAGATCAGCACTGGACCAACGCGATCAGGAAACGAACAGCGAGGCCCGGGTATAGCTGCGAACGAGGAAGACCGAATGGAGGTGGAGATCACCTCCAGACCGGAGGATCCAATAGGGGGTAGAGGCTCGGAGGAAGCCGCAGAGCAGGCGCCTTCATGCCCCTAAAAGTACTACAGGCGAACATCAACCACGCCCGCCAGGCACACGATCTGTTTCTACAGGCCATGGCGGAACGTGGTTGCGGCTTGGGGGTGATAACGGAGCCGTACATGGTCCCGAATCACCCATGCTGGAGCGGAAGCACAGACGGCTCGGTAGCGTTACACTGGAGATGCACGAGACAAAAACACACTCCATGCACCAAATTGGGTTGCGGAGAAGGGTGGGTAATGATGGAGTGGGGCCCGCTTGTGATCATGGGCGTTTACATCAGGCCCAGCCTCACACGAGCACAGCTGGAGGACAGATTGGACAATCTGGAAATACAGCTGAGAGGGGTGCTACAGAGACCTGTTATGGTCGCCGGGGACTTCAACGCCAAGTCGGCGTCCTGGGGTTCCCGGCGGCCGGATGGGAAGGGAGCGGAGGTGGAGGCCTGGGCAGCCCGCCTGGGCCTCCACTTGGCCAACGTCGGCACGGCAAGCACGTGCGTGAGGCCGCAGGGGGAGTCAATCGTCGACCTGACGTGGACTTCACCTGCGGCCTCGAGGATGATCTCCTCATGGAGGGTGGCCGATGAGCTGGAGTTGCTCTCGGACCACCTTCCCATAGAGATAACCGTGTCCCCGGGAGGGAGACGAGACGAGGAGAATCATCGTCGCCCACTAAGGTGGGCAACGAGAAAAATGGACGAGGAAAATGGAGTGGATAAACTGGAGGCGGCTTTGGTCGCGGAAACGTGGGTACCACCGCAGCAAGACATGTCCATCGAGGAGCAAGCGAAGTGGTTAAGGCGAGCGATGACCCGGGCGTGTGATTTCAGCATGCCTAGGGTCGCCTTCACACCACAGCGCAAGGCATATTGGTGGTCTGAAGAGATTGCCGAATTGCGAAGAAGAGCAGTCGCGGCTAGAAGAGT